CACAAGGCTAGATGTCTCAACTGGTCTTCAGTACTTGGCAGAACCATGAGGAAGTAGGCTCTAATGCCAGTAGAGGAATGGACTTGTTATCAAGAATGAGAATAAATAGGCTAAGGGAGAGAGAGTTTCTTTCTTCCATGTCTTTTATATCGGTTGCCAGCAGATGGTGTGGCCCAGATTAAAGATGAATCTTCCTACCTCAAAATATCTAAATTAAAGTTGTATCTTCCCTCCTCAAAGATCCAGATTAGAAGTTTGCCTTTTCATTTCAAATGATTTAATTAAGAAAAAAACCTTCACAAATATGCTTAATCATTTGGGTTTCAGTTAAATCCACATGTAGTCAAGTTGACAACTAAGGGTAGCCATCACAGGGTGCAACTGTCTGGATCCAAATTCCAGATCTTCTTCTTATGTGCTGTGTAGAGTGGCCTTCTATGCCTTATTTTCCTCCTCTGTAAAATGAGGGTTATAACGATAGCTTATGTCTCCTAGGACTGCAAGGACCATTAGAATGACTAATATCTGTGAGATGCTGAGGAAAATGCCTAGGATGGAAAGTACTATGTAAATGTAGCTAACATGATGGGAGAGGCTTGGAGTCTTCTACAAATGGGCATTACCATCCCAGAGCTTAGCCTTTAAAATGAATCTTTTACACAGTTTGACAGACCTAGTAGTCATCCCTGCTAAACATCAAAGTCAACCTCAGACTTAACACGTAGGCATATGCTGAGTATTGCCGTGTATGGAGTCTTAAATTTCCTTTTTCTTTTCTTCTTTCATCTTCTCTTGATAATATAAAAGATGTAGTTTCATCAGCACCAAGAGATGGAACCAGGAAGATCAGTAGTTCGGGATCATCTTCAGATACATAGCAATTTTGAGGCTAGCCTGGAATACATGAGCACTGTCTCAAAAATCAAATGCAATCAAACAAATATGGTGTCTCACAGTATTATCTGGGATATTCACAGTAGACTTAAACCATCCCCCTGCATCAACCTCATAATTGGATCTATAGCTTCTTAAATTTTTTGTCAGTTATTAAGAGCCAACATTAGTGAATGTTGTTGCCAAGAAGTATCACACACATGTTTTAGTCAAGGAAAAATACTGTGTGATTGCCATAAAATCTTTCAGGAAGTTATTCCCTTCATATCTACGAGATCATGAGTCAACGTCAGGAAGACAAATATTCTCTCACCAGCAGATGTTTGGAAGATTGGATAATTTAGTGAGCGCTGAGGAAGAAGTTTCCAAAGCTCCGTTTGGAGTCAAGATGTAAAGGAGTGACAGTTAACCTAACAGCCAATGGGCGATAACAGTTATAAAAATAGACTGTCTACAGATGGGCAAGCCAAGTGAGAGAGAAGACCATTAGAGGACAGCCCACCGTCACAGAACTCAGACAGCATGACTGGGTGCAAGAAATGGATAATTAGTGTGTAGTTAGAGTGAATCTGAAACGTGTGTCTGCTCAAGGTGCCAGCTGAGAAGCTAGTTGACTGTCCATATAGAGAAGATGGGAAGCTCACAAGACACAGAAGCTCCATTGAGATGACCAGATACGAAGAGAAGTGAATACGGCTTTTCAAAGTGGGAAGCCTGAGGGATAGATGGAGGCTGGCTACACAGGTAGATGGAAAGATGGGCTATAGTAGAAGATGGAAGAATTTCCTTAGTACAGCGGTTAGAACCTTCTGGTTTCTCCTGAGCTATCCTATTCGGTACAGGATAAAATTAGTATGTAGGAGGGAGGAGCTACTCTCAGGTCATAAAGAATTAAGAAAAATAGACTGAGGGGGAGGGAGAGGGATGCTCATTCCTATTTCCGTGAAAACTTTTGATGTGTTAAAAGAGCCCTAACAATATGGGGTGAGTACTTTCTGAATAAAAAGAATTCTATTGACTCGGACTTAGACCTAAGAACATGTGGCTTTTACTAAGTAAATAGCAACTTCTTACTTGGATACATTTTTAGTATTGCATGTAATTGCTTTTAAAGGTCATGTGTGGGCCATCAAGGTTACTGAGCAGATGAGGACTCCTGGATCTCTGGAACTCATATAGTAGAAAGAGAGAACTGACTTCATCAGGTTGCTCTCTGACTTCTCCATGTGTGCTGTAGCAACCCATCCATCCATAATACAAAGACAAATAAATAAATGGTTCATTTGTTTTAAAGACACTTGTATTCATTAGGAAGATGGAGCTGTCAGTAAGGTGCCTACCCCTCCCTCAATTATAAGGATCAGGGTCTCCAGCACCCATTATGCTATGGTGGGCACAATGTCTGTAACCCCAGAGCTGGAGACACAGGCTTGTAGGTCACTGAAGCTCACTAGTCAGTCTGAATTGATGAACTCCATGTTCACTGAGAGACTGTCTCAGCAAATAAGATGGAGAGTGGATGAAAAAGGCAGTCAATGTACAGCCTACACACACACACACACACACACACACACCACAAGTGTGGGGGAGAGAGAGACATATATACAAAGTTACTAGTATTGTTTCCTCCTGATAAGAATAATACATTTTGTTATAAACACTATCTACGACCTACTAGTATTATTACCATTTTGATGAATTTCCTTTTTCTAATTCTCATCTTTATGTATTAAATCTGACTTGGATCCCATCAAAATTTTAGACTTTATTTCTTTAACTTAGTATTATATTCCTAGTTTGTTTTTTCCTCCTTGACATGGACTCAGAACTGGGCCAAGATTACGTCTTATGACACTCGTGCGTAGGAAGTCTCTAATAAGTTTACAGTGAAGGAGTTTTGTTACAGTCTAAACAGAGTCCTAAATATCTGTGAGCAGAGCCATCAAGAATGTAACCGGAACTGCTGTAGCAGAGAGCCCCAAGGTTACTATGCCTTTTCAACTGTGTAAGAATGTAACAAGAAGGTGCCACATATGAATGCGGAAGTGTGCCCTCAGAATACACTGTCAAAGAGTGTCTTGATTTCCCAACCTCTAGAACTGTGAGAGATATATCTTGTTATTTGAAGACTACCTCGTTTATGAATGCCAGCCCAAGTGAAGGAATGAGATTCACAAATCATACCAAGATGTGGAGGTGCCGCTGTGACAACTCAAAGTGTGAAAGTGGGTTTGGAACCAAGTAATGAGTAGAAACTGGAGGAGGTTTACAGTGGAGCTTCAGAAAGCCTGAATTCTCCTTTGTCAGGGCGACTGCTGAAAACTGAAGAGAGCAGGAAGTAGTAAAGAAAGCCTCAGGTTACTAAAGAGCACCTAGGTAGCGTAGAATATCAGTAGAAATGTAAGTGGTTAAGGCCATCTTAGTAAATCTGAGAGATAAATGAGGAACAGGTCCAGGGCAACAGCGGAATGACCAGCCTTACTCTGGAGCAATGCATTCTTGGCTGAATTGGATTGTGTCCTGGCATTCTCCGGGAGGTAGAAAGTGTCAATAATGAAAACAGAACCTTCTGAACCATGCAGGAGGAGCCTGCTTAGTAAGATGCTGGTAAAGGGAACTGACTTAAAGATGGAGTTATTAAAAAGGAAAGTGTAACTTAAAAACAGTAAATTGAGAAATCATAAGAAGGCCTGTTTGTGAGAAGGCAAAGATGGTGACATAGCCACTTAACAAGGACAAGGAAGCTGGATATAAGACATCCAACCCAGTATCTGTGGCCTCCAAAGCTGACAGAAACATTTCTATCACTCACAGCTTCTTAGTGATGGTGTTTTGTTATAGCAGCCCACCCAGACTAAGAGTTTCAAAGTCCTTATCTTCCTTACGCTGGAGTTAGGATGACTTAGGCCTTTGAGGCAAGTTAAGGGTTTGTGATGCACACTGAATTGTGAGAAGATGAAACAGTATTTCTGCAAATTCAAGGAAGCTGGACCTTGGAATTGGGGTTATTGATCTTAATAGTTTTGCTTTGGAGGTGTCTGATAAAACTTTAGTCTCTTTTCTTTTTTTATTTTTAAAGACTTATTTATTTTTATTTTATGGGTATGATTGTTTTGACTGTGTATGGACATGTGTGTGTGTGTGTGTGTGTATGTGTGTGGTGTGTATTCATGTGTGTGCCTGGTGCTCCTGGAGACTACTATAAGACACTCAATCTATCCCCTGCAACTGGACTTACAGACAGTGGTGAGCCATCATATGATGCTAGGAATCCAACCCAAGTCCTCCAGGAGAGCAGGCAGTGAGTGCTCTTAACAAGTGAGCCCTAATTCAGCCTCACTTTTTCGTTTTTTTTCTAAGTTATACAATCATAAGGAAATTTTTTTCCTTAGGAGAATTATCAGTGCTGTGTCAGATATCTAAAGAGACAAAGCAAATTATCCCTCAGTGAAGACTGAATATCATCTCTAAATAAGAGAGGCTTTTGGCGACAGTTGAAGAGGAAAAACCTTGCAGCTGATGTAAACAATGAACTCTCCTCTATGGGGTCTTGCACTAATGAAAGATCTCTGTCCAGCCCCAGAGACTTATGACTGAAACAACATCACCATGTGGGGACTCACGGGGTCTATTTTCCTCAGCATCCATGCCTACTCACAGTGAGGGTACCCATTCACAGTCACGCTGTCTGATGTTTCTTTCCGTGGTTTGGTGACAATAGTGTAAATTGACTCATCCAGCTATTCTGAGGGAAGAAAGCAGTTCAGTAGAGCCAAAAGTTTTGTAGATGCCAAACAAAGACTTTTAAAATTGGCTTCCGCTCACCATTGGTTTGAATTTAGATTTTACTGTGATAGACCATGGTTCAGTATTTAACAAATACTAAAGGAGGCCACACTCTCAGGAACGGAGCTCCCAGCGCTCTCCCTCCTTCAGCTCAGGTTGATCCTCCTCACTCTCCTTCATCGCCTGAATGTGCTTCTGGACAGGAATGTGTCTATGTGGTTTTCCAGTTACCCGCAGAGAGAATTAGTGGATATAAAGTTTCATCTATGATAAAGGTATCTTAAAATATGCTGTATTTCTTTCTTATATAAAGATCGTTGTAACCCTGGCAATGGGCAAAGAGACACCTTGTTAGTAGTGTTTTCCTCGTGTCGGGGACACAGCAGATGACAGTCCTTTTTTCATCCTAGCTTGATGCCTGGCTTGGTGGCCCAAACTATCTCATGCCTAGGACACACAAAAATCAAATCAAATACAGGAAGCACAGTACAGGAGGAGGAAGACAGAGACTTTGCAGACCACCATGCTACCCACAGACCTGCTCTCCTGTGCACAGCACTTGTGGGCCACAAACACCTGCTTGCTGTCACTCCACCCAGCACAGATGGAGGATGTCACCCAGGGTTCATCAGCTACGTGCCCAGCCTGGAGCAGGAGCCACCACAATGTATGGTCAGAAGAAAAGGAAAGGGAAGTAGAACAACTTGAATGTTATGAAGAGAGATGGGACTGGAGACTTGAAGGAGGAATGGACAGTTTTGAGCCAGCCCTGCCACCAGGGGCCATGATGAAATTCCAGCTTAAGCTGTCACTGAGGGCCATGGCTATGTAGCAGCAGGGGTCGGTGTCAGTGTCCATGGCTCACTAGAGAACATGGGGATTCCCTGGTTGGGGCAGTCCCTGGGGACCACGTGGCTATCCAAGGACTGTGCATAGCTGGTCCTGCCCTTCTCAGGATGCAGCACTCTGGAGAGCTGGCCCTATCTCTCACTGCTGGCAGCACTTGGGGGAGCGGGACCTGCACCTTGCCCAGGCAGCACAGTAGAGCTGGCCCTTGTGACCGGGGTATGGCTGCGCTGCCCTGAGGGTGTGAGTCCTAACCCCACCACTTCCACTTGTCTGCCATAGGGTGGCACAGGCATAGGGATGATTTGCCCCTTCATTTCTGCCATCTCCAGGCCATGAACTCTGAGCTTCGGAGAGTTAGCCCTGCCCTTCACCAGCTGCAGCACGCAGGAGCGTGAGCCCTGACCTTTGTCTGGGCACCACAGTAGAGCTGGCCCTGGTGGAAGAGGTGCAGGTGAGCCACCCTGGAGGGCGAAAGTGTGGGAGAGCTGGTATGAGAGAGCTAGCCCTGCCCCCTCACTGACTGTAGCACTTGGGAGGGTAGGCCCTGCATCTTGGTGGCACTGGCCCTGATGACAAAAGCTTGGATGAACCAGCTCCACAAAGACTGCAGCACTTGGGAGAGTGGGATAGCCCCTCCCCCAGCCCCAATCCCCATACCTTGACTGTGACTAAAAGCTGGCTCTGCAGATGTTGAGTAGGAATGGAAGGGCCTGAGGGCAGGAGAGCTGACCCTGCCTCCTACAGACGGTGGCACTGGGTGGCCTAGCCAGAGCAGTGGTGTCTGATCAGCTCGGCTGCCACCCAGGCCCAGGTCCAAGGCTCTGAGTCGCCCTATCCCCACATCTCTACCATCTATGAACGGTTCATCCAGCTGTTCCAAAGCTGCAGGATCTCCCTGACCCAAGGCAGCAGCAGGAATGACCCGGAGCAGTCCTGGTGAGGATACAATATTAATGGTATTACGGGAAACCAGGGGTCTCAGACCAGACTGATGAGTCATTGCAACGGACATTTGCAAGTGAAGCTACGTGACCAGAGGGATATACTATGGGACACACCGTGACACACTACAGCTTCCATGATGTTTTTATGCTTCGTTGTTGTTTATTTGTCTGTGTTTGTTTTATGGGGTGGAGGTTGCAAGGATGGTTATGCGGGGATGAGAAGATGAACGGGACTAGGGTGCATGATGGGAAACTCAGAAGGAATCAATAAAACGTTTTTAAAAATGTTATATAAAATCAAGTCAAATAAGATTTTTTTTTCCGTGTTCTGTAGTGAGAACGTCTATTGACCATTGAGTGTTTTAGTCATTTAGACTTTTGGTCTATGTCAACATTCTTATTGATACAGCCTTTATTGACTACCGTAGGTGGCCAGCTATCTTACCTCGCAGAATATTTTGGAGTTAATATATAAAGATTTAGTTTTTATATTTAGTTTTTTTTGGTTGATCGATGACTCAATAATAATAAGTCAAAGAGTCAAAATTCTTAAGGTGGTAAGCAGAATGGCTTCCCATGGAGACGTACCATTTCTCCTACCACAGTCCTCTCTAGGGGGCAGTTCTGCTGTCTGCCTCCTTCTAGAGTGAATGCATCTAGCCATGCCCCTTAGCACAAAAGCAAGCTGTAGCATTGCTGAGCCCCTAGGAAGAGCAGGTCTCCCAGTTACCCAATCTCTGTCCTCTTACATCAGTTATCCCAGCCTCTGTCATTCAGTGTCCACTCCATAATGAGAGATCCATCATCTTAGAGGATAATATCATACTTCAGTCTGCCCATTTTAGAACTTCAGATAATTGTAGGCATATAGGATGTATCTTTATGTATTTGGCTTCCTTTGCTCAAGTGTTTATGATTTATAAAGTTTATCAAGTGCTTTTCCCCCTGAACATATTGAGACCATATGATTAGTCATTTTTTAAAAATATTAATCTGACGTTGTTTCCCAGAATGTGTCCAATTTTTGTACACACACACACACACACACACACACATTTTCTCTCTGAAAGCCTGGATTTTCTCCACTATCCCTCCTTCTTGGTGGGCTCTGAGCTTGTCTTTCTCTCTCTAACATTGAAGTCTATTTGAACTTTGTCTCAATATTCTCACCTCTCAGTTGTGCTTATAAATCTGTCTGAGAAGATGGTGACAATGCCTTCCCTCTGAGTTCCAGTCTGGATGAGATCTTAAACTCTGGATTCCCCCTCTGTTCTGGAAGCGGTTCTCTGATATCCTCTGGCTAATTTTTCTTCTCTATCTTTCTAGTTTTCCTCAGTGTGGTAGGCTGGTGTCTATAAGCTAGTCTGCCATAACCAGAGGTAAAAATCACACAAAAATGGAAAGCTAGTATACTGTTAGAGCGCCATAGTATTGTCAGAGGAAAATAAGTCCTCATGAAGTCCATGTCTCTGGGAGGAGCAAAGGACCTCGCATCCTACCAGCCCTTTTGCTGGGGTGCCACTAGAAAGTGTCCTTCCTCAATTGCTTTGTGCCTCTGTCCAGATTCTTCGTTCTGGGGTCACCCAGTAACTCATGACAGGAAATGAGGAACTCTGTTCACAGCTTCTCTGTCTGTCCCCACAGTAGAGCCTGTCGGTCACTGAATCATGCCTTTTGTAGTCCCCTGGTGGTTTCACTTTGTTTTGTTTTAATACATTTGTTCACTTCGCCTCAGCCCCACCGCCTTTGCTTGGGCCCGACTGTGGTAGCTGTTCGTGTTTTGAAGTCCCCATTCCCACTCCCTGTCAAAGCAAGGAAAGGTCTTGCTAAAATGTGAACCAGACCTAAGCCTTCAGCACTGTGTTTAAATCTAGCAGTGACTGCTGCAGCCCTCTGTACAGCACTGCATAGATTGTACTCATGGCCTTGCAGCATATACGGCGGCCAGGCAGTTTGTGCCATGGGTACTAAGAGATCTCTGTCCTTTGCTCAGGGGCTGCCCTTTTCTGGCTTGTGACTAGAACAAAGGATGACCTTTTAGGTTTGTTTCCTCTACAATAAGAGGAAATTGCGTCAGAAGATTTCCAATTCTGGAGATTTTGTGATTCTGAGCCGTTGGCTTAAAATGTAGCATGTATCCTTGTGAGAACCGAGCGTATGTCTACAGCAATACCTATACTAGGTTGTAAGCATTGCATAGAGTATGTTGTTCTGGTTTATTTTTTGTTGCAGTGACAAAAAAAAAATTCTGACCAAAAGTAGCTCAGGGATTTATTTACACTCACAGTTCAGATTAGGGTCCATCCTGTGGGAAGTTGAGGCAGGAACTCCACAGCAGGTGTCCTGGCTATTCCACACAGCTTTATTGCCAACCGAGAACTTCATCTCACACGCAAAGAAGTGGACAGAAAAAGCCAGCATCCACTCCACTAGCTTCTTCCACAGTTCAGAACAGCCTGCTGGGATGGGCTTCTCCTCTCGCTCTCAGGCGTACAGGTCTCACAGGCAGCAGCTTCTCTCTTGAGTGCCTTCCTACCAGCCCCTGTGGTTCGCTTATTCTCTATGAGGATGACACACTGTCTACTTGGCCAAGCAGGCAACTAACTTTTTGGAACTTGACTTCCATTAACCAACTTCTCTGAGTCAGGGGATGCAGTTTCTTCTTCCTGTCCTTGGATCAGCAGGTAGCTCTAAGCTCCTTAAACTGCACTGCATTTATTCAACTGTTCCTCTCTGAGGTCCCTGAGGACCGAAACAATATTCCTTTCAAACTATTTCAAACTATTCTATTCTTATATAATGAACATTGAACTAATTAATTTTTATTTAAACGAATGGATGTCTTATACTGAATGCTAGTCAAGAAATTGAATTTTCTTATAGAGATCTTAAATGTATTAGCCTTGTATCTAAAGCACCAAGTTCTTACATTTACACAGAGACACACATGCATGCACACACACACACACACACACACACACACACGGAGGGAGGGAGGGAG